TATGTCTTTGTACACCTTTTAGAAACCGCTTCATCAGCGGGTGATTAAAAGCTGTTCTGTCTCCGAACACTTCGTGGCAGGAAGAGATGGCTGCAGCGTACGTTTTAATCGTGCTGAATGCCAACTTCCTATCCATCAGCTGTTGAAGAAAGGACAGCACGCCACCTAATGGACACGAGGTGGCCTCCAGACCTTTCTCTGTACACCAGCGCTGAAAAGCCGTCCACTTTGATGTGTACAGGGCTGTGGTAGATGCAGCGCGTGAATCTTGAATTGTGCGCACTACCTCCTGAGGGAGACCCATCTTCTCTAAGCGGGACCGCTCAGCGGCCAGACCCACAGGTGCTGGCCTATTTCCGGGTAACTCCTGATCGCTCCTCCTGCTTGAAGGAGAGCATCTTCCCTCCATGGCAGTTTCCACGGGCGACCTGACAACAGACGCTGCAGGACTGGGAACCATGGTGCGTTCATGCGCTCGGGAGCTATCAGGAGAGCTGTCAGTCCTTCCTCCTGAACTCGGTTCAGGAACCGTAAAATCAGAGGAGGAGGAGGGGGGAACGCGTACAGAAGCGTTTTGGGCCACGGGCTGTGAGCAAATGCATCCACCCCCAGCGGTGGATTGTCTCGTGGGCTCAGGGAAAACCATAATTGACACTGAGCGTTCTCTCGCGTCGCAAACAGGTCCACAGCTGCTTTGCCAAACTTCTGCCACGTCTGAAAACATCAGGTCTGGATGGAGGGTCCAGTCCGCGTGACGTGGGCCGCCCCTGGACATCACGTCTGCTCCTCTGTTCAGAACGCCGGGTATGTAAACCGCTCTGATGGAAAGCAGGTTTTGGTGAGCCCAACACAGTAGCTTCCGCGCAATGTGTAACATCTGGGCCGAACGCACACCCCCCTGGCGGTTTATGTACGCAGCAGTCACCCTGTTGTCTGTGTGAATCAACACGTGTTGATTCTGTAGCACGGGAGCAAAATGCTGAATCACGTTCAGCACTGTGCGACACTCCAAAACATTGATGTGGGCTGATGTGTGGTGGGGCCACAGCGCCCCTACTGCTTGAGATAAGCATGTCCCCCCCCAGCCTGACAGCGACGCGTCCGTGAAGACTGACACGTGTGATGAGGGTCTGCTGACGGGGACTCCCTCTGACAGAACCAGGGTGTTTCCCCAGTGTCGGAGGTCTGCTCTCACGGAGGGAGGGACAGTGATCATCCGTCTCTTTTGTTTTACTGGATCCACACGCAGACGCGTAAACCACCTCTGGAGGCGTCTCATGTGTAACAAACCCAGCGGGACCACTGTGTGAGCTGATGACATCATTCCCAACAGCTTCATGACGGAGATGGCTGTTACCACTTTGCCAGGTCTTACGTGGCGAAATTGGTTTTTTAGAGTGTCGATTCTTGTTTGTGATAAGCGAGCCGTCATGGTAATTGAGTTTAATTCCACTCCCAGATAAACAATTGTCTGGGCCGGGAAAATCGAGCTCTTCTTCCAGTTTATGGCGAAGCCCAGATTTAACAGGTGTGATGCCAACACCTGAGCCTGTATCAATGCTTCCTGTCTGGAGTGAGACAGGAGCAGCAGGTCGTCCAGGTAAAACAAAACTCTCATCCCTGCTCTGTGCAGTGGATGCAGGGCTGTCTCCACACACTTTGAGAACGTACGAGGCGCGAGGGAGTACCCGAAAGGCAGCCTGTTGTACTGGTACTTCATCCCTTGAAAGGCGAAACGCAGAAATTTTCTGTGTTTTGGGATGATTGGTATGTGAAAATAAGCATCTTTTAAATCGATGGAGACAAACCAGTCATTTTTTTTGGATGTTGTCCAACAGCTGTCTGTTCATCAACATGTGAAAAGGTCTGTTCATGATCGCTTTGTTGAAAGCTGACAGATCCAGAATCGGTCTCATCCCTCCGGTCCTTGGGGACCAGGAAGTAGCGTGAGTAAAACCCTGTGTTTTCCTCCTCGTTGGGAACTCTTGAGATTACACCTTTTATCAGAAGCTCTTGGACTTCTGCATTTAAGGCTGAGACTTGGTCTGGTGATGACAGGACCATTTCTATAACTCCTCCGAACGGAGTGGGTCGGGTTGCAAACTGCAGCGTGTAACCCTTGCATAACACTCTGTCCATCCATCTGTCCGGTGAGCATGTTTTTAACCACTCTGCGTGACGTTCGTGGAATGGACGTGCGTTCAAATGATGTGCCGTGTTTTGAACGTATGTCATCCAAAACTCCGCCTCGACCGCCGTCATGCGTCGCGGAAATGTTTTCCGCGTGACCCAAGGCGAGGCTTCCTCGAAAGGGCTGTTCTGCGCGCGCCCGTGCGCTGTGTCTGGATCGCAGACCAACCTTCATGTCCGGGCGGGGCGGTGTACGCTGAGGCGAGGCGTGTGTCAGCTGATGACGTCGAGAGGCTGCATGTTTAACGTCGCTGTGCGAACGTTGAGAGGTGGAGGGCGTGACGTCATCAACGCCGTGCTGTCGAAGTGAAGGTTGTGAGCCTCGCGGGAGCGCACGTTTCCTCTGGAGGGACGCGCGCCGCTCTCGCTGAGGGCGGGGCCCATCATTGGATTCATTCAGCTGTCTCACGCTTATGCCGCCGTGAGCTGCTGATCGCTGAGACGCGATGGATGACGACCGCTCGCGTTCATTCAGGAGAGGCGTGTGTTGTTTTCGCTGAGAGCGGGGACCTCCACCGGACCCGGCCTGCGGTCCCACATTTATCCCGATGTGAGCCGGTGAGCGCCGGGCAGCTGTGCGTGCATCATCGACACAGTGCCGTTTGGATGGAGGCTGCTTGTCTCGCTCGGGTGCGCGTTTAACACCGTTTGGGTGGTGATCGTGCGGGTCTGATTGACAACAAGTTATTTCGCTTACCGTGGTGTCACGTGAGCGTCTGGGCATGTGAAGGAGCGGCGGTGGGTTTAAAAAACCTTTATTTAAGGCCACCGGCTCTCTCTGTGTGGAGGATGTGTGTGTAGCGGCTGTGAGCTCATCCGAACTTACAGACTGGCTAAAAACAGGCATTTTGATCTTTGAAAAATCCTTTATTTCAATTCCTGTGTCATTTATACACACATCCTCCGCAGACCGTCATTTTTTAGAACTTCTCCCTCGTGAGCTCTGCGGTTTGTTTGCCCCGAGCGCCGTCTGCAGGCGATCTCTGGGGAAACGCTGAAGTGCAGGCTGCCGGACTGAGGAGGGGTGGTCTCTGGCGGGCGGGGCTGGTGGTGGAGCTGGGCGAGACGAAGCTGCTGCTGCCGTGGAGCGTCGATGTTTCTGCCTCTGCTCTCGACGATCTCTCCAGCGGGCTGGGGGACGGGATGAGCCGCGCGGCTTGATGAGATGGCGCACAGTGCTTCCGAACAGCGCGTCCGATGAGATGGGGCCCTCCATCAGGTCTTTGTGCAGCTTTTCCGGCAGCAATGGAGAGTGACGGAGCCAGATGGAACGTTGGATTACCGTCATCCACGCTGCAATCCTCGACAGGCAAACCGTGGAAGCGGCGCACATGTTGAGGATGGCGTCTGCCGATCTACACAGGGAGCTCTTTGTCTCCTCCGGCAGGTCTGAGGCCTCCAGCCTTTTCGACATGCTAAATGCTAGCAGCGCACGTTGTTGCTAACTGCGGCTGCCTGAAAACACGTCGGTGGGCTCGATTGGAGAGCTTGGTCGCCGTCTGGTTCCTCCGGAGGGACGGGACGCTGCTCCGACCTGGGCAGCTTCGCTCCGGAAGCTTCCGCGAGGCTTGGCTCCAGGGGGGGGAACCGAGGAAAAGCGTCAGCTGCCTTACAGAGGGAGTTCTTTGTCTCCAAGGCAGGTCTGCGGCCTTCAGTCCCTTGGACATGCTATATGCTAGCAGCGCACGTTGTTGCTAACTGCGGCTGCCTGGAAACACGTCGGTGAAAAATAACCTTTCCGCCGATCATCCGAACTGGCGGGAAAAGGCGAGGGACGTAGAAAAAAAGGGGTCCCTTCATGTCAGCCTCCTCCCGGGTTCCGCCGGGCAACCCCTGAGGGCGCTGTCGGCCGGGAGCGGTGTGATCGCCGATGCGAAACGAGGTGGGATGGGGTGAGCATTCACTCAGCCCCCCTCCACCTACACTACGCTCCCCAGGAGGGAATGAGCAGCGGGGGCTGCAGCTGAGCACACCTTGCCCCGGAGGAACCATCCGGTTCGCCCCGAGGGTCGGCGATAAGAGGAAAAAACACAAGATGGCGTTGTCCAGCGTGTAGTGACCTGTCACTGGGAAATGTTCCCCGACGCTTACCTTGGAATAAGACTGCTGTCATCTTCTCCTCGGGGAGGAGAACTCACCGGACGGCCGGAGGTCGACTGCCGGGCCAAGCATCCTTCACAAAGGTTGGTCATATACACAATTTATCTTCTTTGTTCTTCTGACAGTGCTATATTAGCTCGCTGAAGAAAAAATGGGAGCCGATTTCCCGCTCTTAACGTAATTTATACGGACCGGGTGGGGCCCACACAGCAGGTGGGCGTGGACTAATTTTTTTCAGTGCTTATGCTCTGCATAACGGGATAAACCCACTAAGCGACAGCTCTTAAAGGGCGAAGCCTATATGAAATAGAACATACAGTACATTAAAAAAAAACATACACAACATACAGAAACAGTCTACTGGTCTGCCCAGGTGAAATACACTGCCTGGCCAAAAAAAAGTCGCCACCAAAATAAAGGTCACATACTAATATTTCGTTGGACCACCTTTAAATTTGATAACACCATGCATTCTCAGTGTCATTGTTTCAATAAGCTTCTGCAATGTCACAAAATCTATTTCCATCCAGTGTTGCATTAATTTTTCACCAAAATCTTGCATTGATGACGAGACACTAGTCATGATGGGTGCATCACTTCACCTGCCTCTCTTCTTACCCTGATGCACCCATCATTCTGGAACAGGGTCAATCTGGACTCATCCGACCACATGACCTTCTTCCATTGCTCCAGAGTCCAATCTTAATGCTCCCTAGCAAATTGAAGCCTTTTTTTCCGGTTAGCCTCACTGATTAGTGGTTTTCTTAAGGCTACACAGCTGTTCAGTCCCAGTCCCTTGATCACGATCATTCAGGATTTTTTTCCAGCCACATTTCTTACTCGAAGACAATGGGTCCCCACTATCCTTCCAGTTTTTAATAATGTGTTGGACAGTTCTTAACCCAATTTTAGTAGTTTCTGCAATCTCCTTAGATGTTTTCTCTGCTTGATGCCAATGATTTGACTCTTCTCAAACAGACTGACGTCTTTTCCACGACCATGTGATGTGTCTTTTCTACATGGTTGTTTAAGAAATGAGAAGCAACTCATTGCACCAGTTTGGGGTTAAATAACTTGTTGCAGCTGAAAGATAATCACCCATGCAGTATTTATCCAAAAGGAAGCTTGTACCTATTTGCTTAGTTAAATCCAGGTGGCAATTTTTTTTTTGGCCAGGCAGTGTATAATGATCTGTTAAACTGAACAGGAGTAATCATGCCAGCTTTTGAATCATTAGGTAAAAAAATTCACTAAACGAACATTTGAAAAATGTCAATTTATGATTTAGAGGATCTTAGAGCTGGAGGCCATGCTGTTTGAGGCTCTGCAGCAGGAGGAGGAGACCAGGATTATGGGATTAAAGACGGGGGAGGGTCACCTCTCTGAGACTTTGACAGAAGAAGAGAAGGAGGAGCTGAGGAGAGCCATGAATCAGTGGAAACGAATCGTGATGTGTGAACTGAGAGAAAGAGATGTTCAGATCCTTCGAGAGAGGATGGAACTGCTTCAACTCACACAGCAGGTGAACATCTAACCCTCACTGAAATATCCTCCTCTATTACTAACAATAAATGCTTGTTGAAATGAAGGACGATAAACAACAAAGGTCATGCTCAATCATCTAGGTACCAAATCCAATAATGCTCAGTCAGGTCATCTGGACAGTTTCTTTGAGCATTATTGGAGGGAAGCTAAAGGGAGAGGACAATAAAAAGTAGGGATGGGGCCGATCCGATCCAGTATCTGTGTAGGGCTCCGATACCAGCATAACTTACGCATCGGATTTTCCAATCCAACCTGCCGATATTTCCGATCCATGATGCATGTCTGTGGTTGTGCTGCACGTTGGCTTCAAACTATGGAATGGATTTCCTGAAGGGAGGGGTGTCTCATGAACCCAGAGTAATAAGAACCACCATTCAGGAAATCCATTTCATAGTTTGCAGCCAGCTACAAAGTGAGGACTGAGTTAGCAGCACTGTGGCTAATGGCTAACCAACTTTTCATCTAAACATGTCTGCCGTGTGGAAGTATTTTACACTAGAAACACAAAACAAGACCGCAACGTACAATGTCTGCAGAGCCATAGCACCACATTAAACCGCTATAAAGTTAGTTTTACGTTGGACATTCAAGCTCCGGGGCTTCAGAGGTCTGTTATTTTCGTTCAGTCCGGAGAAGGCAGTCTGATTTCAGTCAGTCACGCTCTGTCTGACCCGCTCAGTCTGTCCATGTCGGAGGAGGGGCAGACTGAGAACGGCTGACCGAGATCAGAATGCTTGCTGCGGATTGAACAAGAAGAACACATCGCAGAAGCCCCAGAGCTCAAATATTTACCGAGAAGTTGCTAAACTTCATCCTGATTGATGACCAAGTACCATCAGTTGTAGAAAAAGAAGGATTTCGCAGCTTGATACTTGCAGCCAAGATATAGTTTACCCTCCAGGAGATATTTATCAGTCCAACAGTAGACAATCATAAAAAAACATATGATTAGAAAATTACACACACATATATATATATATATATATATATATATATATATATATATATATATATATATATATATACACATATATATATATATACACACACACATATACATACACATATATACATACATATATACATACACACACATATACACACACATATATATAATAATAATAATAATAATGTCATCACAATGTCAGCACTGTATGTTTCCAGACAATGGCGAAATTAGTCTCTGCATTTAACCCATCCACCACCAGGTGGTGCAGTGGGCAGCTATTGAAAGCGCCCGGGGGGCATTTTGGGGATATATATACACACACAAACACACATATACATATATATATATATACACACATACACACGCATACATATATACACACACACACATATATATATATACACACACACACACACACACACACACACACACACACATACATACACACAGACACACATACACACACACACACACACATATATATATATATACATACACACACACACACACACA